CATGTGTAGCTGTAAATACTGCTAGTCTTTTTTCTCTTGGCTAACACGCATTATCAAAACACTAAAGCATTCTGAAGTGAGGTAAGAGAGGAAAATAAATAGGGTGGGTGAGAAGTGCAATGTATTATAGAAAGAAATTATGCAGAAGTTCACCTGCTGTTGTCATGATCAAGACATGGAGAAGACCATCTGTAATAGAATAGATGATTTAACATCAAAAAGGAAAAGAAAGGGGAAAAAAAGAATGAGTTAAATGAAATATTCAAATATTGGAAAAATGAAACAGATTACTAAATTAAACACATGAACATATACATATATATGCATATTCATTACATGTGAAAAGGTAGGAATGAGTAGTAGTATGGAAAATAAGCCTAGGTAGACATCTTTGGCTACAAAGGGTTACTACTAGTAGAGCAGTAAAGCTCGAGTGACCTGGTTTCTCTACACGCATTCTCAAACTGGAAGTCAGATACCTAAAATGTATAGTTAAGAGTCTGAGTACACCTTCTAGAACCAGACTAATGGAAATGCAGCATGGTTTAGGTATCCACATCTAAAATTTGACCACAGTATATCAAGGAGTAAGGTATTTCAGGTAATTCCAGCCACTGTTTCTGATAACACAATAAATCATGATTTTCTTTACTTCAAATGTCCTATCAATACATTCTGTCTTCCACTTTCTTCCATTTCAACATGTTTCTTGTCCTCCTTTTGTTGTGCGCTACAGAATGACAAATTTCAAACTTTCAGCGTGACCTGTTTAGGCTCTTGGCAATGTGTCATATGGCCAGTCTGATGATGTTTTTTATTATACACATCCCTATTGTCACTTTCTTCCACTAACATGAACAGCAGTTTGCTATTCATGAAACACACCCCACTCTTCTGCCCGATTGTAACTTTCTGAACAAAGGTCGTAAAAGCTATGGTATAATTTGAAATCATTCTGACTTTGAGATTTAAGAAATGACTATCAGCTGGTCGCTGCCAGGTCCTGTTTCCGTAACCATTACCCAGAAAATTAATCTCACATTGGAGAAAACAACATTATGGATTCGAAACACAACACTTGAAATACATTTTGTTTACCTTGTTAGCAAGGATCCAGCCTCCTTTTTTGCAGCTATGCAGCTAAGAACGATAATTCATATTATTTGTCACAGTTCAAGCTGCCCACTTCCTCATCTTTCTCCCTTTTTCACTGATGGAAGCAACAACTTCCACAAAGGTAAATTCACTAATAATACCCCAACTGCTTAATCTTGTCAGATACAAGTAGTGATACACTTGGATCATCTGTTAGTCAAATAGGGACTTGTTCAACAAATTACATAAGATGAATCAATATTTTTCATTAAATCAAAGCTTTATCATAAGTAAGTCAGAGTTGGAAAAGCTGCAGAGTTACTACAAATCTTGCTCTAGAACAAAGAACCAATCATGAACTAGGAGGTTCTTCCTCACAGTGCCATGTTCCTGACAATATGTCAGATTTGCCTCTTATCCACCATACCTTTACATATTTGTCAGTAAAATTCTCAGAAATATAAGCTATACAAATAAATTGTGGAACTTTTTTTCACTGTATCACCAGAAGCCAGATATGAAAACAATATCATTTTGCACATAATTTATACTTTAAAATCTTACAGTCAGCCTTATGTTTCCCATTCACACTTCACTACTGTGGGATAGGAGTATGATACTGTCAAGCAATGTCTAAATGCTGCAAGTGAAGTCTTTCAGTTCAGTGTCTTTTTGCCTTCCAACTTAATGAAGATATGTATTCTTCCACAATAGGATATTGTGAGGTATGAGACTAAAACCATGAAATGCATTTGCATTTATGTAGGCATTAGTTCTGCCTGTCACAACACTTCATCAGGAAATTATGTGTAATATCCCTTAATATTACTAAGCAAAGGGATAAAATTCTTATCGGATATTTAACACCCAAACTTTCTGGCATATTCAACGATCCTTAACGTTGCTCAACATGTTAGATCAGACAATTTTATCAGGAGTTAATCTGATTTGCTGACAAGGAGTTTAAATGCAGGAATTGTTACTTTTTCCTTCAGCCAATGTATAAAATTATTTGGAAACTTGGGTATGTAAAATGACCAGGAGATAGTGAGCATCAAAAAAGTGTTACCTTTTAAGAGAGAATTATTTCCTTGTTTTTGAAATAGCTGCCAAGGACCCTAACCAAAGATCTTGCTTTTCTTTCCTTATTGATGAAGCTATCAACATACTGGAACAACAGTTATATTTAAATTTTAAATGCATGGTTTTCCCCTTCTGAAATTTCAGGCATAGGAAAGGTTTTAGTTATGCAAAGGATGAAATATACACCTGTGAAATTCCACACCAAAAGAACAGTTCTCTCTAGATTTACCCTTTTCCTTGGGGGTGTTACACTGCGATGCACCCCTGCAGTGGGAGATTAGTAGGAACCTAGCAACAATTTGGGGTTAGCCACCAAAGTACTGCAGGGAAAGAATACTGTCTTTTTTTTTTTTCCAGATTGTACAGAATACAAAATTAAGAAAATCTGTGCCAAACAAATTACTGTCCAATGCTTTGCTGATATGTTACTTCATACAAATATGGTCTGAATTAAATATATTTCCAGTGATCCAGGCAAAACTGAGGCCATTTCCTTGCTTTAAGGCACTAACAATGTTTACAAAGGATTTCTTTTCCAACACTAAGAGTTTTCTTTCATGACAGATATACACTACTTTAGTGTGCACCTGAAATGCCAGCAGTGTTGCTAGTTCATAAGAACCTGATAATAGTGTGTTTGTCTGCGTAGGAAGGAGAATGTAGGTGACAAGAGGGGCATAAATGACAAACATACTTGTTTTTCCAGCTAAGTAAATGCAACAATCACTCATACAGTACTTCCATGATTATTTCACTTTAAAAATAAGGACTTGCAAGCAGAACTCTAGTGTCAATGTATTTTCCTAAAAAAGAGGTGTAAACAAGATGCACCCAAACCATTTACGACAACTTAATGACCTGGACAAATCTAAGCAAGATAAAAATGAAGTGTTGTACAGTCTTTTCCATAGGCTGAGTAATCGTTACTAAAGGTTTATTTATTACAATATTTAGTGGCAATTTGGTTGGTATATGTAAGAAGAACATAATTTGTGCCGTATTAAATGTCGTTATTTCATACAAGGCTGCAGACAGCATTGCTCCTATTAAAATAGAATATTCTTATTCTATCACTAGCATCCTGGTCATCCAGAAAGGTCTAAATATCACTAATGTTTTTTAAAAGAAAAATACAAAATGGCTGCACATCCAAGAAATAAATGTCACTCTCCTAATTTATCCTCTGCAGTCACTGGCAAGACCTACCTTTCCGATAGTGACAAATAACACATCCGTTTGAAAAAGTTTGTGAACTATATGGGGTTTGAATAAACCACCAAAACAATTTTAAAGCTTACATTCTGACATAAATATATACATATAAACCATATATACTGTATACAGTAAGTATTTCCACTAAATTTGTTAGTTTTGGAGCTCAAGAAAAGCAAATCCAAACAGCACTGGTCACAGCCAAATACCCTGCTACCAACTAACAAACAAACTTCTCATATGTGTCACACATCAGTCAATCTGAAATTGCAATAAGACAATATTGTTTCTCTTCTAGACCAGGACTGCCTGTCATTCCAAATGGGACTCGTGTTATTTTTTGAAAGATATGGACTCTTGCAAAATTGCTGCAAATTCATTTGAGCAATAAAATCTTTCTCCTTGTGACGTCCAGCCATGCTGCGTACAATGCAGCCCCACAGAAATTAAGTGCTTTTTTATGACATCAGTTTCTTATGAATTCACCTGCACATGCCTAATCAAATTTGACAGCAGGAGACAAGCGTAGAATTCAGTGTAAAAAATAAAACTACATAAAACTCAGTAAGTAAGAGCACTTACAACAAATGCACTCAGATTTTGAGGGAACCAGGATAAACTTTGTAAGTATGAATTTGTCAGGGCCTGCATTTTGATCTCTCTTACTCTGTTTCAGTGAGCTTGCCTAAATGAGAATGCTTACAGTCAGTTGCAAGAATACACAAATGTAGTTCCTGAATACTTGTAAAGCACATGATGTTTAGGTTGCTTGTCTATTACACAGTTCATGTAATTTATATCATGACAAACACTACAGTTGATGCTTATCTAAACTACTTCGCTAGTATAGGAAGTACTAATCATCTAGAGCGATTCGGCCCTTGCTCTCAATTATTACCAACTTTTAAAAGGCACTGTATATATGTCTTCATAAAACCCACACAAATGTATGAATCCATGTGTCAGTAATTCATTGCGCTTGAACACGACAGGCTGAGAAAGTTGGGGCTGTTCAGCCTGGAGAAGAGAAGGCTGCGTGGAGACCTCAGAGCAGCCTTCCAGTATCTGAAGGGGGCCTATAAGGATGCTGGGGAGGGACTCCTCATTAGGGACTCTAGTGGTAGGACAAGGGGTAATGGGTTCAAACTTAAACAGGGGAAGTTTAGATTAGATATAAAGAAGAAGTTCTTTACTGTGAGGGTGGTGAGGCACTGGAATGCGTTGCCCAAGGAAGTTGTGAATGCTCCATCCCTGGCGGTGTTCAAGGCCAGGCTGGACAAAGCCTTGGGTGACATGGTTTAGTGCAAGGTGTCCCTGCCCATGGAAGAGGGGTTGGAACTAGATGATCTTAAGGTCCTTTCCAACCCTAACTATTCTATGATTCTATGACCAAAAGCTCACTGGCTTGCAGTGATTTCAGTGGATAGTCTTGCTACTCAGGTTTGCTTGATCATCAGAGCCTAAGAGATCGTAACAAGTTATCAACAGCTCTCGGAGGCAATGAATTAGAATATGACTCCTGGTTAAGCATTAGTTGAAGCTGCTACCACTGCAGGTATTCTGTTTCTCTTTTTTTTTTTTTTTAGTATAAAGCTAACTGATACACTCACCCTGAATGAATAGGGCTGGAAGAAAGAGCCACGTTGTCCAAGTTTTCAGGGCCCCAGCTTAAGCGATATGAATTCCTTTCAGCTTCTTTGGCCAGAGTTGTTACCTTGGTAAGCAAAAAACCCCTCCTTTTTACTACAATAAAATCAATTCATCAACTAAACAATAAGACATATTTTACATAGTAATGCCTAAAGCATTTAAACATTTTTAAAGAGTAATAGTAGCCTTAAGATAGAAACCACTTACTGGAATATTTTGTACGTGCTCAAAGTAATCATATGTCAGTAGTTCCAGTGACATGAATGCTGTGATTTACCAAAAGGGCATTTCCTAAAATCTGTTTGTTTAATTACAAGCATGCTTCAGGATAGTGTCTTTGAGGACAATAGCCTTGAGTTCATTAGATCACCTGAATATTTAGCCCAATGGCTGTTAGCATCATTCAAAAATCAGTTAAACTGGAGAACGTTATGAAGACAGCCCCTGTACTATATTCACACAGCTTAGCCATTTATGTTGGAATAGAGTTTAATATTGCACAGCATAATACACTATTAAATATCAATGAAAATTAGATTTATACTAAAATAAAGCAGCATACACAACATGACATCATTAGTATAATTTAAACTGTAATCTTTTCATATTTCTGTGTTTATAAGTAAACTTAAAAGAGAATTTGCTTACCTGCTGGCTGGGGATTACAACTGTGTCATCAATCATGGCACTGTCCCTCAGGTAGGAAGCATGGCTCAGTGTGTGGGACCTGTCTGAACTGAAGGATCGCAGGCTGGTAGGTTGGTAGGATGCCATAGCAATGCATCAGCAGCACAGATGATGTTGTAAAGGTTTCATGATAGATCGAGTGGGAGAATGAAGAAAGCGTGCTATTAGCAATATGATGCAGCTTCCAGGGGGAGTAGATAACAGTCACGGGGGGAAAACCAGAGCTTTACAAATCTGTGGTATGCTACCTTTCTGACCAAGGGTCACAAAAGTCTTTTGACAGACTGATCTGCTTCAAAATGCGGAACCTAGAGATTAATCTAGATGACAGTTTATTTTATACTCACAAATATTTTATACTTGGCTTTGTGGCATGATAGTTTCCTTATAATAAAGAGCAAGAATTTCTTTTAAGTAAGGCTCTCTGAAGAAGTTCTTTTTCCTGCAAGTCACATAAGCACACCACTACGGAAAACCAGAATGCTAATAACTGAAGAAAAGCTGAAAGGGCTCTTTTTGAAGCTTTGTTATTATCTACCCTCTCCCTTTAAGACTGTAATATGTAAGCTTGATGTTGTCCCCTGGAAGGTACACACAGCAAGGTGAATTGTGGCCAGCCGCAAGCTTCTGTGTGAAACAAAACTCATCCTCAGTATGCCAACAGCATCTTTAGAAAGGCAGTCCAAATGTGAGCAGTGTTGTCTTTGTAACTACACACAGCTCTACAGAAAACTGGTTGCTGTAGCAATGAGAGATGCAAGGCTGTAAATAAGCTGCTTCCAAGCACTGGCTCAGAATGTAACTGCAGTATCCGCTAGCAAAAAAAGCAAAAAAAGACAAGTAAGACACCACAGAAGGACATATTGAGGTAAACGGGGTTTCTGCTACCAAACAGCACTAGTTTTGTCCTTTAAATATTTACCAGCAGCAGTATTACCACAGTGATTTTTAAAAACCTATCAACCATCTTCAGATGTTGTATGTGTACTCTGTGATGTTGTTCTGTATCTTGAGGAATATAGGACCTATCACTGAAGGAAGTGGTTTATTTTCATGGCTTACACATCCATGAGTAGTACTCATCATGACTAATGCACTGGATAAGAACAATAAGCCATTTATCTCAACACATCGAATTTTAAGGGATAATTCCTTTGCAGCAGTTAGCAATAAGAAAGTTGTGTACATTATGGACACGAGATTCAAGTGCTTTAAAAGCATAGATCTTGTTGGAAATCATATTTTACCAGCTGATTCAGACCAGCCAGCACTTTAACAACAGCTACGCTCACTCTATCAGTTTTTGATGCATTTTTAGAAGGAAATGATTCTCTTATTTTTATTAGCAATATATGACATTGAAGAATAGTCAATGCTATTGACCGTTGCCTTATACCAATGGCTTATTTAGCATACTAGATGGAGTGTACAAAATTGAAAGCAATGATAGGTGTTACACAAGTATCAGCCTTTGGAAAGTCTTGGGAAAAAGAAAGCAACATTAAATAATCTCTCTTACATGTCGTGAAACAGAATCTTGACTGGAGAGTACACTGGTTAAACATTTTAGTGTGAACTGGGTAGGCAGAGTACACCTTGCTTGTTCACAATACAAGTACTTCAGTGAACCAACTTTCTTTGGTTGAAAAATAAGCCTCAGTAGCAGACCCCATTTGCCATCATTATCCGTGATTCACTGCAATGATTGACACTTCCAGAACTGCTCTGTTGCGCCATGCAATGCTTGTAAGTGGTTTGCCATCCAAGTTGCAGGTTCTGCTATTCAGCTAATGTCATGTCCTGGATAGATATTGAATGAAAGGAAGTATGTACTAGATTTGACTAGTTATCTGTAAGGTGATTTTGTCCATATTCTCCTGCAAGTAGCTTGTACTGCTACTACCACCACTACAAGTAGCCCACTATGTAGTACCTGTATGCAAGCTCCAGTAAATATCCAATATATCCAATACAGGTCTGCGGTACATTAGAAGTTTGATTTTCCTCCTACGCTTAATTTCAAAACTAGCCTTCAGATGACATTGCCCCTCTTATGTGTGCAGCACCAGCTATACCAGCAGTTAAAAGGTTTGTGCTTCTGAGGCTTAAAAATAAAGGTACTTATTGAAACAAGAGTCCAGTTACAGAAAAGTAGGTGTGCTGAACAGAATTTGCTGTTAATAATAATAATAAGTAGTAATAGTAGTAGTCTTCAGGGACCCTGTAAAAAAAAACCCCAAACCTAAACCTCAGAGATACAACTAATGTCTAAATACAGGAGTTTTTTCCAGATCTGTTTGATAACTCTTAATTCATATGGTTTGTGGGGTTAATAGCACCCAGCCCCAGAGACTGAATTTTGGAATCCAGGAATGCAACAAAGGTCCTGAACATAAGAGTGTGTGTTACCCATGTTAGGTTATGCAAGTGTCAGCCACCACTTCTAAGCCCTGAAAAAAGCCTCAGTGGTATCCAAAAAATAAGAGCAGCATGCTCTAGCCAAGTTTCTAATCTCGATGACTGGGAGACCATGTTGCAGTACACATCCACTTGCCAGCCTAGACAGAGCTCTAGCAGTCACTAGCCCACTTGAGTGTATCTCCTGTTGTGGGAACTGTATGTTGTTTCAGAGCTGGGAAAAGAACCTGGTATCACTGAAAACTGATTAAATCAGCCTTGAAAATATTTCTCAGTAAGACTGAAAGCCTTCCTCACACCTATCATAGATCAGAAAGGTGGAAGGGACATAAAATGAATCAGAGTGTTTTCAAATACTGGTGATCTGATATGGCCAGGTTCAGCTCTGGATCTCAATATGTAGAGGGAGAATCCAACTAGTGTACTCCATTCTCTTTATTTTTTATTCTATCACTATTTCCCCATGTAGAGAAGGAAACAGGCTAAGCTTCCCAGCAGCATGCTGACAGACAGTCAGCTGCTGGCTGTCTACTGCAACCTTCCTGATCCTTGCTAACGGTACCTTTACAGGAATCACACTGTGACCTTTCTAGATAGAGAACACTGTTGGATCCATATTTCCCACTATGTATCAGACTCATTTGAAACTATAACTATCTCCAACTGCAGTGTCGTTCACTTGCTTCTCCAGATCAACTTTCTGGCATACAGCAGGCCTCCAAAATGGATGAACAGAGACAGATGCCATAGAAGGATATAGAGACAACATGTTTTCATGCTGTGTAATACCTACCTGGGCATGGTGCTAATGAAAGCATATGAAAAAGAATGAAGGTGAGAGAAAAATAAAATAAATAGGGAAGATGGTTACAAAAGAAAAAGATATGCTTTTAAACCAAATTGTTCAATGCACAGGATTACATGAGTCTAGACTGCTAATACTATTTTGCTCTACTGAATTTCTTGAAAAAATCAAAGTCAGTATAATGCAACAGAAGCCACATTAATGGAAAAGCAAAATAATTTAAGCAGTCCCTGTGAAATCTCTTACAACCAGTAGCCTGATAGTGACAGAAAATGAGACCATGGAGTCAGAAAGATGTACTTTTTTCTCTTATTCTTTCTCCCTTTAGAATTTTGCTTCGTTTAAAAATAATCATGCTTGATACAGGATATGAAACAATTTTCATACATCACAAAATAAAACACATCAATTAAGTGCCACTGAAAATCTACTAATATTCACTGACTGTACTTAAAACTTAAAATACTCTAAATGGGAGCAGAAACTAGCTTGACACTTGCCTGCTCAATCATTTCTATACAACTTACAATAAAATTTAAAAAGAATTCATTACCACCAAAAGGGCATGACAAAAGGTTTTGATTTTTAAGCATTCTGCTGTAGTTCATAAACATTCTCTGAGATTTAAAAAGCCACACAGTCACTTTGTTTTCAGTGGATTCACTGGAGCTATCTAAAAACCCACAAAGACTCCAAGCTCATAAGACCTGAATGCTGAGGGATTTACACATGCTGGGAGCCAAAACGAGCTGTTTCCTGACATCTTTTCTTCCCAGAGCAATTCATAGCCTACTGAAGTAAATAGAATGGATCTGACTCATTTCACTGAGCTTTAGAAATGCTGCCAGAATAACAATCAAGACTGGAAGATGAGGTAGGTTAAAAAATCCTTCTGTTGCCAAGACCTCAACCCTTTTCCTTTTTTTATTTTTTATTTTTCCCCTTTAGTGAACCCCATTTCTGAAGGCAGTAAGCCTGGAGACACTACTGCTTTACCCTAGACATTG